GGGCAGTTCAAGATGTTGGGTGTATTTTGGGGATGTTCTTGGGGTGATTTGGGAGATGTTTTTGCTGTGGTTTTGAGGTGTTTTGGGGAATGTTTTTGGGGGTGTTTTCGGGGTGATTTGGGAGATGGTTTTTGGAGTGGAGTTGGGGTGATTTTGGCGTTGTTTTGGGGCTGTTTTTGGGGCGACTGGGGGGATGTTTTTGGGGTGGAGTTGGTGTGATTTTGGTGTTGTTTTGGGGCTGTTTTTGGGGTGGAGTTGGGATGATTTTGGTGTTGTTTTGGGGCCATTTTTGGGGTGATTCGGGGACTGTTTTCGGGGTGGAGTTGGGGTGACTTTGGTGGTGTTTTGGGGTGATTTTGGGGCGGTTTGGGGTCTCCTCCCCCCAGGTTCGTGCAGTACAAGGCCACATCTCTGGAGAAGCAGCACAAGCACGACCTGCTGACAGAGCCAGATCTGGGGGTGACCATCGACCTCATCAACCCCGACACCTACCGCATCGACCCCGGCGGTGAGAGCCCCCCCAGGCTGGGGACACCCCCAAAAGCAGGGGTACACCCCTAAAAACAGGGCTCCTGGGGACACCCCCAAACTCAGGGCTCCCAGGGGACCCCAGAACTGGGGGATTTTTGGGGCCAAACCCCCCCTTTTCCCCCCCAAAGTGCTGCTGGACCCGGCGGACGAGAAGCTGCTGGAGGAGGAAATTCAGGCCCCCACGAGCTCCAAGAGGTTCCTGGGACCCCCCGGGACCCCCCCCGAGGGGCTTTGAGGGGGGTTTGGAGGGATTTTTGTGGGGGTTTGGGGTCTCTCAGCAGGCACAGCTCCAGTTGGTCGCAAAGTGGCTTTTTGGGGTATTGTGGGGTGTTTTGGGGGTGTTTCTGGGGTGGTTTTGGTGTGTTTTTAGGGTGTTTCTGGGGTGTTTTTGGGGTCTCTCGCCAGGGGCAGCTCCCGCTGGTTGCACACAGGTTTTGGCGGGGGTTTGGGGTGTGGGCACAGTTCCAGCTGCTCACACAGGGTTTGGGGAGGCTTTGGCAGTGTCCCCCAATCCCCCCCCACCCCCCCAGATCCCAACAACATGCCAAGGTGGTGCCCTGGATGCGCAAGACCGAGTACATCTCCACCGAGTTCAACCGCTACGGCGTCTCCAACGAGAAACCCGAGGTCAAGTGAGTCTGTGGGGAGGGTCATGGGGGTCCCTAGGGGTGCCCAAGGCCCCCCCTGACCCCCCCTGGCCCCCCTGGAAGGATTGGGGTGTCGGTGAAGCAGCAGTTCACCGAGGAGGAGATTTACAAGGACCGCGACTCCCAAATCGCTGCCATTGAGAAAACCTTCGAGGATGCGCAGAAGGCGGTGAGGGAGGGACTGGGGGGGGGTCCCGGGGGGTGGTTTGGGGGGCTCGGGGGACGCTGAGGCCTTCTGTGCCCCCCCAGATCACGCAGCACTACAGCAAACCCCGTGTGACCCCCATGGAGGTGATGCCAGTGTTCCCTGACTTCAAGGTGAGGAGGGGGCGACTTGAGAGGGGGTTTGGGGGGGGTGGAGACACATTGGGGA